TGTGAGCTGGGCAAGAGTGAAGGGAAAGATTTCTGCCCACTTCGTGCTGACCTTGCCATGGCCCTAACTCACGCTCACACAATCTGCAAGTCTGTTTCATCAAGGTTTCAGCGTGATCCTCTTCAACACGAAAAACCAGCTCTTGGTCCAGCAGAGAGCAGACACCAAATACACTTTTCCCGGTGAGCCACTCAGTGAAATCCAGGGAGCACTGAACTCTGACTTGGGATCTGGGAGACTCATAGAGGGACAAGCAGGGATCCAGCCCAGCAGCGCTCTCCCTGGGATACTCAGTCCACTCCAACTGAAGGTGGAGAGACATTAAGTTACCAGCATTGGAGATAGAACTGCTATTGAGTTGTGGAATTTATAATCCAGTCTTTGTTCTAATAGCAGAATCAATGCTGGGGAGATGAGTCAGAGTTGAATCTGTTTTATCCAGGATGGCTAAGGAGGGCCTCTGTTTAGTAGTAGAGCACTTCCCAAAGCTGCTCTGTGCTCAGCTTTTCCAGGGCCATTTTATGGACTCCTGCTCTAGTCACCCTTTATACACCCCCAATGAACTGGAAGAAAAAGACGTCATGGGAATGAGAAGGGCGGCCCTGAGATATCTACAGACCGAGCTGGGCATCCACCAGGAGCAGGTACTCACCAGTCCCAGAGACACATGAATAGGGAGCTTTCCATATTTATCGAAATGAACTTTCCCGTGTGCTCATGGATCTATTTTCCAGTTCTGTCATAGGCCAGTGACTATTAGAGTTCCAGTCTTCATCAAAAGTTGTTACTCAGGCGGTGGCTGCTGAGCTAACATTAGTTTCCACTTCCTATGGGAAATGGCTTTCTTGTGGATGTGCCCTGAGCCGGGTCCACAGGACAGGCTGTGAAACAAGTCACTGTGCTAGAGAGCAAGTTTTTTTCATTTCCAATCTGAAAAGGAATCTTTCATAAAACCTGTACGGAAGTATGTTCATCTTGTGTTCTGTGTCCTCATGATCTAAAGATGTGAAAAAAGAAACCATCACGGCCAGGGACTGTGAGCCACACATGCCCCCCCCCGCCCCGCCCCTTATGATCTACTCAATGTTTAATTAAAGCTTAAACGCTGTGTGGCACTAGTGGGTAGAGTATGTGTGCTTTGAATGAGAAAACAGCTTTGAACTGTTTTCTATGCATTTTCTCAGTTTTACTTGTTTAACACTGTACAAATTTTGAAACAACTTTCCATAAAGGATATAATTTTTATGAGCCAAAAATACCAGTCAGTGTCAGTCAGATGCTGTCTGGGGAGACCATGAAACCTTCTGTTGGTGAGGGAAGACCTCACACTGGACCCTGATGCCAGGGAAGTGAAAAGCTTCCGCTACATGAGCCAGGAGGAAGTGTGGGAGCTCCTGGACAGGAGGGCCCGTGGAGAGATCACCCGTGGTTCAGATCCACTGTGGAGGGCTTCCTGTTCCCTTGGTGGCCTTATTTGGAGAATGTGTCTCCTTTCGTGGAACCAGACAAAATACATGGACTGGAAGATTGTGTGGGAAAATAAAGTTGAAAGTTGGGGTCATCCCTAACCCATGGTTAGAATGGTATGTCAGGGGTGAGGCGTGGATTTACAGAAATTGGGTTTGCCAATCCTGAAATAATGTGTCTTTAACTGTAATTCAAGATCTGCCTCACTTAACTGTTTCCTTATTCATGTCTTAACATATTCGACTTCCTTCTATGGAAAGCACTTTTCTCCTAAAACCTCCTGCTGGTGGCCTCACTCGCCCTCTGGAGTTCCACTGACTTCATGGTTAGCACAGGCTCACTTGAGGGACCACTGCTCTGCAGCCCCCACCCAAACCCACCCCTGGTGCCTGGCGCTGTGCTCATTTGTATTGGCAGAATTTCTCCGTTTACATACATTCTGCATGATGGTAACATGTATATAAAAAGAAAGGAACTGTGTTAGTTTTTATTGGGTTCACAAACTTCACGAAAACTAGTACTTGTGAAGTTAAGAGCATAATTACAATTGCTTCCTCTTTTATTTTACTGTAGCCAGTGCTGACCCACGACACCAAGTACTAAGCGTGTTTTCAGATATAAAATAGTGAAAATATTGAACAGTTTAATGTCCTTTAATACATGTCGAGGGGTGAATTTTTCGGGTAAAATGTTATTGTGCATACACAAATGAAAATGTTTACTGTCCATTTCAAAATAACTCATAATCATCATGGAAATTTTGTTAAAATGTAAAACTTTGAACCATCAAAAAGCTTGGAAAAGTGCTATTTCTGATATGATTTCTCTGCATTATCTTGACTGAGAAAACCACTTTTGTTTTATTGCTTGTTAAATTCTTTGCTATTTCTAACTGTATTCATCATTTTCTTGAAAATTAAAAAGAAATCAAGTGGAAACTGCCTAGTTCAGTTGTAACTCCGCGAGTGAACGCATGAGGCTGACTTTCTAAATGCCGTTCAGTTGGAATGGAAGGGTTCTGGACTGGCACCCAGGCTCTCTCATCACTTCCCATCCTTTGCCAGGTTTAGACTCAAGGGCTTTTTCCTCCTGGAATTCCCTAGATTTTAGGAGAGCTCCCCAGCCACCATCTCCGACCTTGGTTGGCTGATCTCAAACCTTGGCTCCTCCATCAGCTTCTCTGCAGGCTGAGAGCACTCACATCCTATTTCATTCGTGGGTGCTTTCTCGGGAACATGAATGATGCCACTGAGCTCAAAGCCCAGTGAGTTCTGTTCCCTATGCTACTGTGTGGGGCGATTTTACCTTGATAGAAACAAAGCCTACTATTTCACTATCTTTAGTGAAATGATCAGAAGCAGAACCAGAGAACAAAATGGCCTGGGAAAGAGATCTTCTGGGTATGAGCATTTTCTTTCTTAGGTACCGAATCCCAGGAAAAGCAGAAGTGACTTAAAGTGAAGTAAATATATCACAATCCTCACAAACAAAACTGGTATCTTCAGAGAAAACTGAAAAATAGGAGACATCTCTTTTCGAAAGATAGCCAATGATCTTCAAGTAAGGAATTTCTCAAACTGGAAGGATTCACGGTGTATCAGGCAAGGTAAATAGCATGGCACGATTTCTATGTATGTTCTCCTCCTGTGCACGACACCCATAACCCTGTACATGTTAGGCAAGCACTGTATCAAATACCTGACAGAAACAATGTATTTATTTGGCTCACATGTTTCAAGGTTTGGTTTTAGCAGCTCATCTTTACGGGTGTGAGGTAGTATTTTCACTGTGGGTTTCATTTGTATCTCCCTAATGACTAGGTAATGTTGAATTATCTTTTCATGTACTTCTCTCAGTGATCTTGATTCAATCATTTGTGCTGAAGTTTCTTGACTCCCCCAGCAGGAAACACAAACTAGTTCCTAGATGAGGCCTTCTCTCCTTCCTATGTCCCTTTAACTTTTCCCATTTTTCTATCCTGCCTATTTTGTCTCAGAAATTTACCAAAAACAAAACATAAAAATCTTACAAGAAAAATCAGCATTGTTGGGAGCTGAAGAGTTGACTCGGCAGTTAGGAGCACTGGCTGCTCTTGCAGAGGACCCAGGTTCGATTCCCAGCACCCATATGGCAGCTAACAATTATCTATAACTCCAATTCCAGGGGATCCAATGCCCTCTTCTGACCTCTGTGGACACTGTATAACACAGGCGCACTTACATACATGCAGGCAATACACTCATACACATAAAAAAATATATTTTTAAAAAGAAAAATTAGAATTGTCTCGAACCTCTATTGTGCTAAATGCCTAATTCCATGATGTAGTCCCAAGTTACTAGGTACACCAATGATTAGAATAAAAACAGAACACAGAGGGACTGGAGAGATGGCTCAATGATCAAGAGCACTGGTTGCTCTTGCAGAGTACCAAGGTTCGATTCCCAGCACCCACATGGCAGCTACAAACCGTCCTTAACTCCAGTTCCAGGGGAATCCGACGCCTTCTTCTGACCTCCGCGGCATTGCACGACACGGTGCACTCACATACATGCAAGCAATACACTCATACACATAAAAAATAACAAATTTAAAAAAAAAATTAAAAACAACAGAACACAGAACAGATCCACAGCATCTAGCCACTACCACAGATACAGACTTTAAGACAGCTATCCAGCCACTGAATAGGTAAGATGCCAAATTTCATCAGAGAACCAAAACACATTTAAAAATAAACCTAAAAATGGAGTCTATAGCCAGGCATGGTGGTACACACCTTTAATCCCAGCACTCAGGAGGCAGAGGCAGGCGGATCTCTATGAGTTCAAGGCCAGCCTGGTCTACATAGTGAGTTACAGGACAACTGGGGCTACAGGGAGACCCTGTCTCAAAAAGACCAAAAAAATAAAAATAAAAAAATAAATAAATAAGGAGTCTCTATAGATTTCATATAACATTAGGAAATGGCCTTTTTAAAATGTGTGTAAAAAACATCCCTGAGATTTTGATGGAGGCTTGAATCAATCTCTACATCAGACAGGCAGCATGGACATTTTGATAGGACTGTCTTCTGTTCTGTGAACAGGGATACGGTTTCATTTACACTTCCATTTCTTCAATATTTTGGACCCATCAGGATGCCTATCTTTTTTTTTGGTTTTTTTTTGGGGGGGGGTGTCTTTTGGGGACAGGGTTTCCCCATAACCCCAGCTGGCCTGGAACTATGTGTTTTGCCTACAGGTATTTAAGAGTACCATGTGCATGCAGTGCCTGCAGAGGCCAGAAGAGGGTGTCAGATTCCCCAGAGAGTTAGGGATGGTTGCTAGCTACCATGTGGGTGCTGGGAACCAAACTTAGTTCCTTAGAAAAGAGCATCCAGTACTCTTAACCACTGAGACATCTCTCCAGTCCCCCATTTTCCCACTTATCATCTGGCCCTCAAGAGTAATTTGTGCTGGGCTACAGGGCGATGCTCCCTAAAAAAATTTTTAAAAAGTGATTTGTAAATAAATCAAACAGAACTAAGATAATAAAAACTATTTTCTTCTTTAGGTTTATTTTAGATAAAATAGTTGAAGACAAGTTAAAATGATACATTGTACAAAAACTCTAGAAAATAATTTAAGAGAGTATTTTAAGTATGGAGTTCTGACAGGCCTCAAAGCCTTCTGCCTGTGCTTCCGAGGGGAAGCTTTTTTCACAAACACAGGCTCTTTGTGAGTATGAAACAAAGGTCCCTCTTACAAAACGGGTTTTTCCCCCCATCAAAAGCAACTTACTAACACCCATAGATCTTTGCAGTTCGGTAAATGTGAAGCAGTCAACATGTCATGAAATTCAGAAACAAAGTACACTTAAGACATCTGTATTGCAGGGACCTGACTTCCCACACATTCTGCATTGGGTTAACCAGATTTCAGTGAAGCAACAAGCACTTGCGTTATTTCCATAGCTTCTTTCAGTCAGCAGACGGTGACTCCAGTTCTGCTAACCCACACCACGCCCTTCCAAGAACAGCAACAGTCAAGCCAAACCAGCCGACTGGAAAGGACACTATCTCCTGTCCTTTTTACCAGCTTTCCTCTTCCCAGAAAGCAAGTGCTTGGGCTTCATGTCAAACACATGTCTATCTGCCTCCCCTTTCTTTCCCAAGCGATTCATCTTCTTCTGGGCATTCTTCATCATTGTCTTGGCTTTCTTCACCATCTGTACAGGAGGAAACATGGCAATTAAGGAAGGCACATTCCCACTGTGCACTGTAATTACCAGGGAGTGTTCTGATGGAGCAAGCCTGTTTTACAAATACTCTATAGTGAGTTTCAGTCATTGTTTTCTCTCAGACCCACCACACTATCTGCAGAGACTCAATGACTATCTGTGTACACCCTGGGCATTTTCAGAGTTAGAAGACTCCTATGTACCTGGTTCAAACTTCTCAGACAGACCAACACACTAAAACTTAGGACCATGGGTATACGCTGCTACATCTGACTGGTAACTGGCAATGCCATTATTAGAACCCACAGTTCAGGGGTGCACATCTGTAATCCCGGCATTAGGAAGATTAGGAAAACTGTGAATTCAGAGACCAGTTTGGAACACACGGCAAGTTCCTGGCCAGCCTGCAACACACTAAAACTTTGTCTTGACTTCCGCCCGTCATCACCAGGGTTCCTGATACGGCATGTTGCAATGCAAACCTCAGGCTTCCATTAAGTAGACACCTGCCAATTTAGACTTTCTCTCACATCTGAATTTTCAAAATACTAAAACTTAACATTTTTCTTCTTGAAAAGAAATTTCAACAAAAGATATTTTGAAAACCAAAAGCATCCTTGCAAAAGATACTACAAATCACATGACAGCCACCGAAGCTACCAGCCTAAGGGGAAAATTTCCTCTAAAATATGAAAACATGCAGATGACCTGATGGTGAACAGAAGCTTCCCCTGGGCCGTTTCCTCACAGGGGCTTACTGGAACTGAGGCTCCGTGGCACTGCAAAGGGCCATTTCCTAGAATTTCCCTTAACAGCTGGGACTAAGCTCAGCCTGTACTTCACCAGATCATGTTTCTGTCCATTCTCCAAAGTGCCAGAATGTTTTTCTGGGGCACCTGTCCAGGGCCTTCCAACTGCTCCCTGGTCCAAGTTCATCTCTAAAGGATGCCAAGAACCTGGGGGTTGTAGCTCAGAGCTAGCCCTCCCCACAGCTCCTGCTCCTCCCAACGGCATCTGATGGTGTCCGAGGCTTTGTACAAACAGTACTGCTAGAGGCCCTCATGTCTCATGTCCTGTGTCATAGACACTAACCTTGACATCTCGAAGACCAGAAATGTCACGTGGAGTTCGAGAGCAACTCCGACTCCTGGATATAGAAGAGGGTGCAACAGAGTCTTCCCGCTTTCTTTTCCTAGTGACACTCCGAGATCGTCTTGCCTGGACTGCATAGTGGGCCTGAAATGCACAAAAAGCAAACTCAGAGACAACCAAACTTGTGCCAGCAAGAAACGAGGGTAGTTAGGGTTTTAAGAACCATCACCACACAAGTCAAAGAAATTGGAGTCTTCTGTGCATCTGAGATTTGCTGGCACAGGGTCTGACCTGTACCAAAGGATCAGCCCTGCCGCTATTCCCTCTCAGGGAACGGCTCAGTGATGTCCAGCTCAGCACCGTGCTGTTGGTGCTTTTAAACCTTGGCTCTGGTTCACCATTTGAGAAGAACAGGAAGGCCATGCACACTCTGTGTTGTCCTGAATTAAAACTTATCCCCCAGGTAGACAAGGATTCCTATATACTAAAGCTCTGTGTTAACCAACACCAATTACATAAGGTAATGCCGAAGCTTCTGGTTTTGCCATACATGTGCACATAACCCCATCATATAGGTAGCAGGTTATACATTCCAATCATGGAACTGCGTGCAATGCTAGGATATGCGCATGATAAAAATCACCTAATGAGAGACTTCTCAGAACACAGCCACATCGTTAGGGAAAGGCAGGGTGTAGTAGCACATGCCTAAGTTCCCAAGCACCAGGGAAACAGAAGATGAGTAAGTTTGAGGCCAGTCTGAGAGATGCAGAGAGACAGTGTCTCAAAGCAACAAAAGCATCACCATATTGAAACCTCCCTGTGGACTTACACTGTCTTTATCATCCATGTCAACACCAAGATTACGCATCTCATTCTCCAAATCTGCCCGCTGAACCTGAAATGATGAACGAAACTTGTTTTAAGCAAAGCTAGTCTGAGGAAATTTTAAAAAGAAAAAAACTATGGTAACATTGCATGTGATACTATGATACAGATAGATGACTGATGTTTTGTTCAGCGTTCCTGACTCCTAACGCTCTGGGATCAAAGAAGGATCTAGTTGTAAGTGTACAATGGGAGAAACCGTCCCCTCTGTATCTTCAGATCATACCTTTTACAGTGATCACACACATCTTTTTTTCTTAAATACATAACTGACAAATAAGACAAAATAGTACAAGTAATTAAAGACTGATACTTTAAAATACTAATATATAAATTTGATTATATTACTCCATCATCATTACAACTTAATACAGATGCATTAAAAATTTACAAAAGCTTATTATTAATTTCTATGGTAAAAATTGAGTAAGTACACCACAATCATTATTAAAACTACTACAAGACATTTTAATTGTTTGAGCCTATATAACGGGGTGTCTCACGGGGCCGAGAACACCGGAATAGGTTAGACTTTCTTGCTATAGCAAGCCCAAATTGTGTCAGACAGTTTTGTTCATCTGCCACAGAGTGTTGCTTGCAAACACATCTTTTTGAAATGATTCTTTTTTACTTGGGACCACGTTAATGTTTCTGCAATTAAATTCCACGAAAACTAACATTTGCAATGCCTCTGCGTTCTGCAAGCCACAATGCAGTCCTTCCTTGGGGCTACAAGAAAGGCCGTGCAGCAGGATAGATGGAGTATTGATGCTGAGGTCAGCAGACACAGAAGACAGAGCCATGATCCAGCACTCAGAGCAGTGTGCACCACCAGAAGCACAGATGTGCTCACACAGCCATGTAATCACACAACAACAGTGTTTTCAAAAATGGAAGTAACCACTGTGGTACCTTTAATGTCCAACTTCACTCTTTCCTCTCCCATTATGTCCTAACTGCCCACTACTCGTCTTCTTTGGGGACCTGCCACTCCCTTCCCCCACTTCCAGGAAGGCCCTATCATGGCCGCAGTCCTGGGCCTAACCTGCCACGCAGACAAGAGCATGATGCATAAGAGAATGGCAGCCCAACAAATACAGAGCAGAGAAATGGGAAGCCCCATGCCATGTGACCCATCACACCTGACGAGGGTCTCCCCACCCCACCAATTAACTGGTACAATAAACTGCCTTGTAGATTTAGGAGTCTTAATCAATAGACAAATGAATTAATTTAAAAAATGGTACAATAAACTGCCTTGTAGATTTAGGAGTCTTAATCAATAGACAAATGAATTAATTTAAAAAATGGTACAATAAACTGCCTTGTAGATTTAGGAGTCTTAATCAATAGACAAATGAATTAATTTAAAAAAAAAACGCTGACCCTGGGCACAGTGGCCACAGTTGTAAGCCTGGACCTGAAAGTGGGGGCAGCAGGAGGACTGAGTTAGGAGTTCCAGGTTCAAGGCTGGCCTGGGCTGAACACTCAGTATTTGCCAATTCATTATAAAGCATATTCTAAGCGACTCAAACTAAAAGGTAGCAGAGTCCTAATCAGGGGCGATCTGAAAGGGAGCTTCTGCTTCCAGGGAGCTGGGGGACACCTCCCTCCCCAGCCAGAAGACTGCCTCAAAAGAAAGAAACAAAAACAGTTAACCGAAGAATTTAAAAGTCTATGAATCATAAATTATAGTTTAAACCTGAACAACTGCAAAAATGATTTCATTTGTAACAATGATGTACTTGAAACTGCAATTCATGGAGAAAAGTAGTAATCAGAATCTGGTAGTTCAAGGCAGAGTACCTTGCAAGTCACACACCAATTAATCAAAGTACGCAACCTCACATCCACGAGTGGGTGGAAGGCTGTTTCTAGTAAGGATCCACATGGGAATCCAATACTCAAGATCAAACCTGCCTCTCTGCAACAGGCAGAAATGACTGACCTTCTTAGCAGTTCGGGGCATCCTGGGTCCCTGGGTATTCTTTTCTTTGGACTGCAGAATTTTCAATTTCTTTTTTTCTCTAATCTGCTCTGCCAGCTGTCGGATTTCCATCATCTCCTCATCCTCACTTTCAGAGTCACTGTCGTACTCCCCGGCGGCTGTTCTCAGCTCTTCTTCCTTTTCTAACTCTTCCAATCTCTTTAAAAGAGTCATAGAATTAGCAGGAATGTTTGCAAAGAAGTAGGTGTAACAGCATGCTGATGGGAATCAGGACTCCCCAAGGCCCTGAAGACATGAGAGCCCCAAAATGCACACAGATAATCTCACAGGAAAGGGGCACCATGAAGAATGGAGGCCTGAGCACGGCAGGTGCTGTTCTCTGCCAGCTCCGTTTCTTCTTTAAAACAAACTTGAAGGATAAAATGCAGACACCCCTTCCCCCTTCTCCAATGTTCCCAGCAGGTACATGAAGTAAATTTATACAATAGCCGTTCATTTTCTCAAATATCACCCTAAACAATCTCACTGACTACAAATTAAGACAAAAATGAAAAAAAATTTAAGTACATGCATGGGGTTGGGAAGTAGCTCAGTAGCAGAGTGCTGGTCTAGCAAGCACAAGACCTAGGGTTGATCCCCAGCATCCCAGAAAAACTTGTAGATACTTACAAGTAATGAAAAAGCAAGGAGGGAATGGGAACCAAAGTAGGAAAGAGACCAGTGATAGGGCAAATCTCTAGAAAAGTGTCGAAGAAAAGGCCCAACCCACCAAAGTTAAATCCCTTCCTTCAGATTAGAAAGTTCTCAAAATAACAGGGTAAGGCACCAAAAACCTGCAGATCAAAGTTCACACCCATGAATTCAATTTTCTTGATAAAGTGATGCCACCTGCTGGACCGGCAGGAAATGTCAGCAGGTCTGAGAAGTCATGGAAAAAATTACAGGGTCCACACTACAGCACCAACGCAGGTCAAATGACACTGCCCATTAGAAGCCAGTGTGAAGAGCCTGGCACTGCTAGGACTACGGAGAGCAAAGTAGATGGGGTATCACCCAGATGTGCGGAGTGACATCTGGGAGCAAAGGCAGAACAAGGGTGGGAGGGTGCCTCAGGGCAGAAGAGAGTGAAGAAAAGGTTAGTGATGTTGTACTGGTGTCTTCTAATCACGTTAAGAAGGAAAACAAAAGTGTCACTTAAGTGATGCAGGGCTGGAGAGATGGTTCAGGGGTTATGAGCACTGGCTGCTCTTGCAGAGGACCCGGATTCAAATCCCAGTACTCATATGGTGGCTAAAGATGGCTCAGTGGTTAAGAGCGCTGACTGCTCTTGCAGAGGACTCAGGTTCGAATCCCAGCACCCACATGGCAGCTAACAACCATCCATAACTCCAGTTCCAGGGGATCTGATGCCCTCTTCTGGCCTCACCAGGCACTGCACAACACAGGTGCACTTACACACATGCAGGCAATACACTCATACACATAAAATAAAAATAATAATAATAATAAAAAAGTGACACAGACCTTCATGATAGCAGGATCAATATAATCAGCAACATTATGGCCTTCCCAGATCTCTGGTATCTTATCGTATTTCTCAGATGAATTCATTAAATCCCAGTACTCTAAAATTGAAAACAAGAAATTCATTTATGGCAGCTTCTAAATCCTTTCAAATACCATGTGACCAAAATGAGTTATCACTAAGGCCACATCATACCACTCTACAAGTCGATGAAGCAGCTGTGACCAACACTGCCTACTGCCCAAGTGATTATAACAAGATCAACACTGACCAACATGTTCAACCTTTACATGCTGCAAAAATAACCCCACCATCTGGAAACCACAGACAACAACCCTGGAAGGAAGGCATCCACAGCTCTATCTGCCTATAGCTTTTAATCCTCAAGGAATTAAAAACCAACAAATACGCTGGAAGGTTTTCTCTTATTCGGTCCTTTCTTACTTCCCTGAAACATTTCTCATGTAAGTGACATTTTAAAGCACCTATTACATTTTAGTACTTACTCTGCAGATCCAAAATGTAATCATCCCCCATTTCCAGTTCAAGATCTCGTTCCTGTAATGGAAAAATAAATAAATAAAGGTTTTATTTTACCTTTCATGTCCCAGAATACTTTGCTACCTCGTCAGAGAAGCAGTCCCTGATCCAGCTCTAACAGGAAAGCTTTTTACCCATCTGGTGGACTGTACATCTCACACATTCTGTTCACTGCAATATGGTATCAACCAAAGAGCTTCGTGAGATTAAGGACTTTTGTCAAGGAGTCACTGCTGTGTCCCAGAACAGTATAGGGCTGACCCTGGGCAGACTCAGCTTGCGTCCAGAGTCAAGCCTACTTCTAGTGGCAAAAGCACCAGCCCTATTACAAGTCCGATGCCCCATACTGCTGTCCCTGGCACACAAGCAGCTCTTCTGTTCCACTCCATTCGAAACTGAGACCAAGAGGCTCAGCAACCTACCCTTTTCTTCTTGGGCTCCCCAACTTCCATTCTTTTCCTGCGTGCCACCACCCCTTCCGGGATGAAAGGGGGCCTCTCCTAAGAAGACATTATTGAAAGACCGTGAAATGCCTTGCTGGGTGTAGAAGAAACTTAAACCAAAAAACTAGAAACAAACACAGTCTGCAAAGGTAATATGAAACTGCCCTCATCAATTAAAACCAACACTATATTCTAAGGAAGGAGATTTGAAGGTTAGACTGGGCAAAGACGCCAGAGGATGACACCAAGAACTGACTCTGTAGTTCATTTAGGAAAAAAAAAAATTAACATTATCTAGAAAAACCATGTAAGAAGATGGGAGAACAGAAGATCAATGAACAAGGACAAGTATGTACAATTCAATGGAAAGATATTCACCAATCAGTTCAGAGACAGTCTCAAGAGAAACTAAACAAACAACAAAGACACAACATGGAAATATTTAGGAAAAGGACACTTTTAAAACATTTTAGGCATGGACAGCATCCTGCTCTTGGTAGAACACAAAATCTAGCAGCCACGAAAGAAATGGTTTGTTAACAGTCTAAAAAAATTTTTTTTTGGGGGGGAGCTAAAAAATATGTGACAAAAAAAATTTAGGACACATAAAAAGAATTACTTTTGTAATATGAAAAGAACAAATCAATTCGGTAAAGCTACCTTGGTAAAAAAAAGCCAGTAAGCATGTAAACATGCTTGGCTTCACTCTTCACTGTCAGTGACAGAAGTTAACTCCCAGTTCCATGGCCCACACAAGGGGAGTATAAACTAAGGAAGGCATTTTTGAGCACCACACCTTGAAATCCAAATTTATTTAGAGTAACACACTAAGATACATGTATAAAGATGCACAATGCCTATATAGCTAAGAAAATGAAAATTTAAAAATAATATACTTTGGTCAGGAGTGGTGGCACACACTTTTAATCCCAGCACTCAGGAGGCAGAGACAGAAGCAGGTAGATCTCTTTGAGTTCAAGGCTAGCCTGGGACTACAGGGAGACCCTGTCTCAGAAAAGATAAAAATGAATATATATATACACTTTGATCAGCTAATTGCAAAAATTAGGCTGTATCAGGGGTTGCAGAAATGGCTCAGTAGTTAAGAACACTCGCTACTCTTGCAGAGGACCTAGGTTCAGTTCCCAGCACCCACACAGGGGTTAACAATCATTCCTAACTCTAGTTCCAGAGGATTCAACTCCCTCTTCTGATCTCCATGGGTACTGCATGACACAGGTGCACTTATACATGTAGGCCAAACACTCATACACACAAAATAAAAATAATAAATAAAATATTTTTTAAAACCTTAGGCTAATTGAAACCACTTCTGAAGGACAAATAGGACGACGGTCAGCACCCCAGCAGGGTCTCAGAGCCTTATCTTCATGTCCTCAGTTCTTTCCCATATGTACATGTCACTTTGTGGTGAATGGGAAACTGAACCTACATATGAAGCCCATTTGTGTACATGTGTATAAATCTGCAACTCCAGTTGGAGGCGTGTGGCTGGCACAATAACCGTTATCTTTCAAGGCTCCTGCTCCTGCAAAAGGTCACCTTACCTTATCGTCTCTCTTGTTTGGCATAGCTAGATGCAATCTGTTCAGAACCTCATTCACTTTGTTGCCTTTCATTTTCGTTTCCACTCGATGAGCCAAAAGCCTGTCACAAGCCTAAGTACAAAACAAGGCAGGGAGTCAGAGAGACAGGCTACAACCCCCAACCACTGACAGGCTTGGAACGTCTACGTATTGTCCCTCAACAGGGAACCAGGCTGGGCAGACCACTCTCTGAGGAAGAAGACACCAACTCTCTGGGCTGAGGGCCAATTTGAGGCCAAATCCTGAAGCAGCCCTGCCATGTCCCACAAGGGTCTCACTCTTCCATATAGGTCAAGGGTGCTGGCCCACCCCTCAAAAAGATGGTAACCCCAAGCTCCTGCTAGCCCTCTAGCAATCTGAGCAAGCAATCTGTTTCAAGAAAAACTAACATGCTGAAGAGAAAATAACTAAGACAGGCTGTGACCTGAATGGAGGGCTGTTCCCCTCTGCTTTGTTTGCTTCTGTTTTCAGACTACCTTTTTCCTTCTATTTCTGAACAGACACCATAAAAGTACTTTTTACTAGAGTTGCTATGGAAACATTAAAAGATCTAAAGACAAAGCAGCCAGTCTCTTAAGTTAGTATTTCCTATCGTAAGAATTGCCAAATACACCTGGCGCTCAAAATGCACAGATACCACACCCAGGGAGCCAGCCAACCAGATCGAAATATTCAAAGAAAAAATTAGTTAAACGTGTAGACTACTTTTTAATGATTACTTTCTAAAAACAATGCAACATAACTGCAATTTGCATATCATTTGCAATGTATTAGATACAAGTCATCTAAGGAAAACTTAAACTATACGAGATCACATGAAAATACAACACTGTTGGACTCACCTGTAGATTCTGATATGGGGAGGGTGATATGGGGGTGTCTTGGATCAATCTCTGGTAAATACTGGGGGCCAGTTATACCAACATCAGCTGGGTAGGGGCAGGGCATAAGCATTCTCAGGGCACAGAACCCAACTCAGTGTATAGTTACTGCTTGGCTATTAAGTGTTTTCAGTGTTAGCAATCCCTGAAAAGAAAACTGTCTCCCCCCATAACAGACTTTCCTAAAACAAAACATTGACACCTGATTTAAGGAAGCACTGACCTCTGTTTTAACTTGAATAACACCTTCCTCAGTCAGGGTGCTGGTCTCGATTACAGAGAATCCTTCAGTTCGTAAGTCTATGAATATTTTCTAGGAATACAAAGGAAAAGTGAAACGTGCATTATTTTCTAGCTCCCCAGAAAACTGTACTGTTCTGCAAATGGAAGCTGTACACACTATTTGTTCAATATCTACGTAATTTTTTAACCCTTAAAGCATAGACATGTTACCCTTTCTGACACTCTTCTATAATTAAGGGTAATTTAAAAAGTAACCAAAAACCTAGATCAAACTGAACCAAAGTCAAGATAACCTCCTTCCTTCCTTCCTTCCTTCCTTCCTTCCTTCCTTCCTTCCTTCCTTCCTTCCTTCCTCCCTTCCTACCTTTCTTTTCTTGCTTCCTGTTGAAACAGTCTCTCTCTCTCTCTCTCTCTCTCTCTCTCTCTCTCTCTCTCTCTTTCTTTCTTTCTTTCTTTTTTTATAATGACAGGGCCTTGATCTGCAACCCAAGCTAGCCTGGAACTCAGTATGCAACACAGGTGGGCCTCCCACACACAATCTTCTTGCCTCAGCCTCCCAAGTGTTAGAATTTCACGTGTGTATCACTCACTATAATGTGGACAAGATAAACTTTTCAAAAAATTTTCAATGTTATTTTTTATTTTGAAAGTTTTTAAGTACTTATTATTTTATGTGTATGAGTGTATTGCCTGCATGTACATAAATGCACCCATGTCATGCAATGCCTGTGGAGGACGTCAGATCCCCTAGAACTAGAGTTACGGACAGTTGTTAGCCGCGACACGGGGTGCTGGGAACTGAACCTGGGTCCTCTGCAACAGCAGCCAGTGCTTTTAACTGCTAAGCTACCTCTCCAGCCCCAATACTTTATCTTAAAATTTTTGCCCCAACAGTCCAAAAGAATTCTTTAATAAATGTTTTTAAGTGTTACCATCGTAAGATGATAGCCATGCTATTAAAGGCCAGTAAATAAAGGGCAGGTTCTACAATACAAGTGTTAAACAAGCAGTAATTTTTCAATTTATGTGTATGAGTGTTATGTCTGCATGTACATAAGTGCATCCATGTTGTGCAGTGCCTATGGAGGCCAGAAGAGAGTGTTGTATTCCCTGGAACTGGAGTTACAGGCAGTTGTTAGCCACCATGTGGGTGCTGAGATTCAAACCCAGGTCTTCTGCAAAAGCAGCCACCAAGTGCAAGTCATCTCTCCCACTCCACAAACGGTGTATTTTAACGATATCCACTTCCCCATTTCATACAACATCAACAACTGAGGGTGTAGGCATTAACTCTACCAGATAGATAAACCAGGAAAGAGTAAGGTGACCAAAGGTGACATCACTTCTTGAGCTACTACACAGTTAGCCAGTAACCAACTGTCCAGTCATTGCCTTCCCTAGACAGACAGCCTGGGCCTCGGAAGGGTGTCAGCACTTCCCCACCACAAAGCTGGTAAGTGAGCCATGATGTGAGTACTACCTCCACTGGACAAACCAGAGCTCAGAAAGTGACTCACTACCCTACCACACAGCTGGCTGTGTGAAGCTGGGACTGGAGCCTGACCCCAAAGCCTGTGCATCCTACCACAGGTTGTTTCTTCGTGGTACTACCCACTTTCCCTTCTTCTCCATTCCCCAATGCCTTCTACACTGACACGTTGAGATTAATTAAAAGACATAAGGGTTCTTTCAAAGGTTAAGTGATTCTGGTAATTTAAAGAATGCAGTGTCCTGCCAGGCTAGCACTTGGGAAGCAGAGGCAGGAGAAGCAAGAGTTCAAGGCCAGCCTGGCCTACATTGGGGGGCGCGGGGGACAGTATCCAGCCCTGAGAAAACCAGTATGCAATTTAAGACTTCCTTACCATGTACAACATACCCTAAAAGGAGCAAGCAGGAAACATGCTTCTCCCACCTCAGCCCCTTCTTCAACTTAAATACTCCAAAAGAGTACTGACCAGATAGCATTCTCACATGGGTATACTGGTTTTCAGATTGTCAATATATACCAGGTTATATGAAAAGCTTGGGCAAACTCAGAATGCTACCACACCCCAAGGGCTCTAGAGTCCCCGAGATTATGCTTTTCTCTTTAAAAATGTTTTACATTTATTTATTTTTCTTTTCTATGTGTGTTTTGTCTGCCTGTATGTAAGTGCACCATGTGTGCAATGCCAGAAGAGGCCAGAAGAGGGCATCAGATCCCCTGGAACCAGAGTTACAGACAGTTCTTGGCTGCCATTTGGGAGCTAGAAACCAAACCCAGGTCCTCAGCAAGAGCAGCCAGTGCTCTTAATCACTGGGACATCTCTCCAACCTTGAGATTATGCTTTTCTAACAGATTATTGGGCAATAATGAGGAGAGCTGCTGGTCTGGAACAGGGTGAGAACACTGCATGAGTGCTTGTCTCTCAGAGCACTTATCCTGAAAGCTGCCTATTAAAAGGGTTGCACAGGGCTGGGAACACAACTCAGTGGGAAAGCACTTGCCTGGTATGTGTGAATAAATTAAATAAAAGGATCACAGGGTCAAATTAGTTTGAGGATTCATGCCTAGGAGTATTGTGTGCCTCGTGCAGAAGGCTAGCAGACATTGCATGCTGCCTCTTCTGGAAAGCCTCTCTCAAGAGCTTATAGCCCCACCTTCTCCTTCACTCACTTCTATGACTCAGTTTAGCACAAAAACCTTTAGGTAACAGAGTCGTTAATAATAAAGTAATAATGAGGTAATGCCTATTAATACCCATCCTAATGAGAACCATGGGAATGTTCCCCTAGTATACCTGATATCCGAAGGCCTAGAAGGGATAAGGGCAAACATCTAAGCAAGTGGCTTCCTCTAAATACCAATTTAAGAGCAATCCTTTCCTAGGTAACATTTCGTAAATAAAGGTTAAATATATAACCCATGAAACACAGATGTTTCCAGACTCCAGAACAGGACAGAATCAGAAACCTACACTCCAGGTTTTCAGGTCATGCCATTAAACCACCAAGAGCCTCTCAGTTGTAAAATAAAAAACTGATCTACAAGAGCTAAAATTCCTTCTAAACAACGTTTGAGAATTGGAAGTTAGTAAAAAAAAAAAAAATAGTAGTAATAATAATAATAAACTATCAAGGCAGCTGGTAGCATGTCTTTAATCCCAGCATTTGGGAGGCAGAGGCAGATGGGTCTCTGTGAGATCAAGGACAGCCTGGTCTACATAGTGAGACCCTGTATTCCAGAGGAGTAGAGGAGGCAGTAAAATATCAAGGTGATTTACCTGATCATCTTCAGAAAGTTCAGCTATTTTCTTGACATCACATTTGTTTGCCACAATGATAAGAGGCTATTAAGGAAGAAAAATGACTATTACTTTCATAGCACAGAATAACAAAGTCCACTCCCTCAGTGCCCTTGGCTTGGCTTTCTGCAATCACATTTACTCTAGCTGAGATCAAACACAGCTTGAAAATTTCAAATGGGATGTTCTAGAAGTCAACAATTCATAAAATGCCCAATTGTGCACTCTCTGAGTGGTGCAATGAAATCTGCCTTAGTGCTCTATGCCACACTCAACACCAGTCACCCCTCTGCCCAGCTAGTTCACCCTGTATACACTACACCCAGCCACATAGCTCATGTCAGTAACATATCACCTGCCACAATATTACAAGTTTCAAGTAACAGAGAGTTCAGTACCAACTGTGGACATCCACAAGGGTCTTGGAAAATATTGCCTACAAATAAAAAGGGACTAGTATGAAAATTTAAACATTACACAGCACACTTACCTTATTGATAAAGAGAGGCCTGATATTCTGGAAGAGTTCTAATTGCTCTCTTAACCCATGTCCACATTGCTCAGACAGATCCATCACATACAGAACCGCAGCACGAAGGTGGGCCAGGGCTGTGATAGCCTGCATCTCAATGGTGTTCCGATCCTCCAAAGGATGATCCAAAATCCCCGGGGTATCTACAACCTAGCAACCAGGTTTTGTTATTCCAAAGTAAACACATTCAAAATTTCTTGGCTGATGTGTCCCAGAAATCATTCCCATACAACACCTAAACCAGACCATCAAAACTAGTAAATAAAATATAAATAACTGGAAATTGATCATGATAAAACATTGAGTGGCAAGTATTCTTTACTTAAAATACAAAAAACAGGCCAGGCGTGGTGATCTCTGTGAGTTCCAGGCCAGGCTGGTCTACACAGTGATTTCAAGGCCAGGCTGGTCTACACAGTGAGTTCCAGGCCAGCTAGGGCTACAGGGAGACCCTGTCTCAAATAATACAAAACCCAGGAGCTAATAATAATAATAATAATAATAATAATAATACAAAACCCAGGAGTCTAGTTTGGTGGCTCCCACCTGTCAGCCTAGCCCTGAAAACACTCAAACAGCACATCTGTCCTGAGTTTAAAGCAAGAAGGAATGAGCTGCACAGTGGGTTTCAGGCCAGTCTGGACCGGAGTAAGACCGTGACTCAAAAGGACAGGGGTGTAAGGAAACCTTGCAGCATTCAATACAGAGCTACTGACCTTGAAAGAAATGAGCCTTTTTACAATGTCATCATAAAATATAAAACCTGGACTAATTGACAAACTCTCCCAGTTCTTGAAAAGCAGTTTATCATTTATAAAGTTAGATTTGATTGTGGAGCTAGATGGTTTCAAGTTTTCCAGCAGTAAATGCCATTTTCTAGTGACAGCATAACTAATATAAAGAGAACATCATTAATTAGCCATCACTAAGGAAATGAAATCAGTACTGCAGAACTACAGCAGAAAGCCACACAGCAGCTGCTAGCCTTCTCTCCATTACATAAATGTGAACTATCCTCACCCAGGCCCAAAGTTCAGAGTTCTCTCTATGGTCCTGGAGAAATTCAAAACTATTTCCAACTCTTCAGAATTCTCTCTAGAGGGTGCTGCTCATGGCTGGCTCTATACTCAGTGCACTAGGGGACAGATATATGCTGCAGTTCTTTAGAAATCATCAGATTCTATTAAGCCAAAACTCAGATGTTTCTTCTATGTTTGAAGATAGAACTCTCACCTGCCAACGCAGATACTTATAGTCCATGTGCCCAACGAACAGAGACTTGGTGGTAAATGCATAGGGCTGAACATCCACATCTGCTCTCGTCACCTTGAAAGAAATATTTTCACAATCACAGGCGTCCCATACCACATTTCCCCCAACAATATAAGCACCAATGTGGCACCTATACTTGATCAAGACTAACTTTAGCCAAGCATGACAATACATGTCTGTGGTGTCAGTTACACAGCAGGCTGAGGCAGGTAGACGGCATGCTCAAGTCAGTTTGAGCAGCTTAAAAAGACTGACTCAATTCTTTTTAAAAAGGGCTGAGGACAGCAGCTAGTGGCAGAGCACTTGCCAAGTATGTCTGAGGCCCTGGGTTCAAATGCTACATACATGCACACACACGTGCGCGCACACACACACACACACATACTCATTCCAATTTGGTAGGGAAAAAAAAGTCCCAAAAGATTTCACCTGATTAAACTACAGAGGACCGGCATTATCCATTTTGACAAATGACTGGCTCCTCTCGCCTCATACCATGGGTCCATGCCGCAGGGCTCATGGAGGTAGTGGAAAGCCAGCACATAAATAGTTGTCAGTTCCTCCACTCTAACCCTATACCCTCCCCAGGCGGGCTCAACTATGTCTGGATGAAGAAAATCCTCTACACCTGCAACCCAAATGGAGCCTACCAGCCACTCTCTGCTCACCAAGTCTTGATATGCATTCGTGTAACTCAAGAACTGAACTTTTCATCTTGATGAGTTAGTTTAAACTCCAATTCAGGGGCTGGAGAGACGGTGCAGAGGTTATGAGCACTACATGCTCTTGCAGAGGACCTGGGTTCAGTCCCCAGCACCCACATGGCAGCTAACAAACTCCATGGGATCGTACGCACTTTTCTGGCTCCACCAGCAATGCACAGCATAGGTATACTGAGTTGCACGCAGGCAATAGATGCATACACAAAATAAAATAATTTAAGAATAAATAAAATATTTAAGCTACAATTAAAAACCTACATATGGCCAAGTGGCCATTGGCCAGTCACTGGGGAAGAGACTCAGAGCCAACCAACAAGTGCTTAAACTTCATTTAGGGCCCTTAAGAGAATTGTTTGTTTGCTATCACGTCAGGGCAGCGTGTGGACAAAACAAAGTTATTAGGCCAGTGAGATGGCTTAGTGGGTAAAGGCACTTGCCACCAAACCCAAAGACCTGAGTTTAATAATCTCTGGGACTCATGTAGTGGAAGGACAACCAACTCCCTCAGGCTGTCCTCTGTCACACATGCACACACAATAAATAATGTAATCAAAATTAATAAACAAAAATAAAAGCTATCAATCTGCTTGAAAACAAAAATGTTCTGGGCACTAGCTGAGTCCTAACACGTCCATATAAGTACCAGATTACTGAGTTACTTAAATGTTATACTCAGAACTTACAATTGCATTTAAGTAAAGACAGACTAGACTGATGCACGGTAGCCCAAACTTATAATCCCAGCAGTCTGGAGGCAGAGGCAAGAGGACTGCAAATTGCAAATTCAATGCCAGCCTGGGCTACATGATGAGACCCTGTCTTAGTTGAAAAAAAAAAAAAAAAGATTCAGAAAATGACCGTTACACTGGCCCTTTTACACTGGCTGTTACAGCTCACATGGAGGCTGCCGCAACCACCAAGGTGACATATAACCCACGTAGCTTCAGGCTGGGAGACTGCAGCTCAGTGAATGCCACCTGGCATGACCATTTCCACAATGAGTCAGTACAACACTACCATGAAAAGCTCTCCATCAGTCAACAAATATGAACATAGATGTCTCAAACTCCTTAGAAACTGTAGGTCACACACAAAGATCAAAAGCAATGGCTCCCACAACAGCTACATAAATCAATGAGCTAACCCCCTCACAGGAACCTGGATGTGCTCAGGTATCGATCAGGACCTCTTGAACACAAGGGCAATGACCAGTCAAAACATTCCCAAGCCCATCCTACGTCTCTCAAAGACAGAATGCAGTAGCACTTTGACCTAATTAGACACCTGCTTTAAAATAAAAAGCAGACCTACCTTATTGATGAAGCTGGACTTCCCGACATTTGGATAACCACATAAAAGCAGAGTCCTTGTGTTTGGATCAATGGTTGGCAAGCGGGATAAATGTTGACGCACTATAAAGAGTTTAAATTTAAACGCAAAGAAACTCAGAATTTAAGATTTGTTTCAAATTTCTTTTCACCTTAATTATGGTCTAGGCTCACGGTTACATTAATGCACTTAGATGGCTCAAATTCCTCACTATAACTTTTTTGGCGAGGCAGGAACACACTGGGTGTGACCCTAAGACCTAAATCCACACAAGGAAAGTCCTCTATCACTGAGCTATAAGCCCTGTCCTCTTTTTACTTTTTATTTTGAGACAAGGTCCTACTAAGGCTGGCTTTTGAACTCTAGTTCAGGCAGGCCTTCAACTTACAATCCTCCTACCTCAAACTCCTGAGTAGCTGGGACTAGACCTGCTTCACCCTAACTTTTATAATATAAAAATGATGAAGAAGGCTGGCGGATCTCTGTGAGTTCAAGGCCAGCCTGGTCTACATAGTGAGTTCCAGGACAGCTGGGACTACAGGGAGACCCTGCTTCAAAACGTCCTCTTTTTTTTTTTTTTTTTAAAAAAAAAAAAAAAAAAAAAAAAAAAAAAAAAAAAATGATGAAGAAAATATAAGTGAAGAAAGCAGTAACTGTTGGTACTAACAGTACATACATTTATACATGATAGTATGTCCCAAATACTGCTTCACCAAGACTTATGTTTGAACATACCAATCTGCTATTTTGGTCGCATTAAGTCAAAGGCAGGACCAAGAACACATGTTTAGGAAAGTGTCCAGATAATTATTGGGGAGATTATTTGAATAACAGTATGTTTTGAAGCATGCATGCTGTAAAGTGCTGGCTACATGGACTATTTGCACTTAGCTCCTTCATCAGGAACACCAAGACAGCTCTAGCCTGGCACCCACAGGGCTGAGAAGCCCACAGAACAGTAGGAAAACACTTTCAAAGAAACTTGCCAACTGGGTGGAAAGAGAACAAAGTCAATATATAAAACGATTTGTGGGGATAAGGATGCAGCTTGGTGGTAGAGCACTTGGCTAACATGGATGGACAAGGCCCTGGGTTCAATTTCTAGCACTTGTGGGAACCAAATGCATACATAATATAAAAATAGTAATTGATGCATTTTCCATGAAATTCTACTAACTCGGGTACTATCCCACTAAATAAAATTTTCTAAAAATAAAAATGTCAGCTTTAATCTTAGTACTAAGGAGGCAGAGGCAGGCAGATCTCTCAGAGTTTGAGGCCAGCATGGTCTACATAGCGAGTTCTAGCCAGGGCTACATAAGTGAGACTCTGTCTCAAAATAACAACAAATTAAAAATAAATAAAAATGAAAAATGTCAATACATAAAACTGTAGCTTAATTTTTTTAGTATTTCCCCAAGACTCATGTGCATCATGTGCTTTATTTATTAAATGTTTTATTTCTTAAACAGTACTACTAATTTCTAAGCATAATCAATATGAAATTTTTCGATAATAATGAACCTATTATAATTTGTTATTAGTTAGGCTAGGAAAAAAGTGATTCTGTCATCTCTAAAGTTTAAGAGTAAGTCCCAAGCACCAAAGAACACATTAAAACTCATTTCTGCTTAGACACGTGCCTTGCTCCAAGTACTCCAAACTCTGCCGCTGTCTCTTGATGATGGTGCACATTCGGCCCAGGGCTGCACGCTTCAGCTGTTTACAGCGGTACAGAGAATCCCCGTACTTCATAAGTCGCACATAATCTTTAGCAACACTTAGAAAAATAAAAAAAAATCTATAAGTTTTTTACTTTTGATAATTTAAAGGACAGACAATATAGTAAGAAAATGCCTTACTTGTCCACCAAATTTTTGGCAATATTTATTTGTCCTAGAGCCAACTTGTAATGATCCTTGTCATAGAGAACATTCATCAAATCAGCATAAAATGGATGGATATCCTGTAACAGACAAAGGAAACACACAGCTGTCATTTTGGTTCAACAACTTCTCAGCCTTATATAACCAACACACGGAGAATAATCTTTTCCTCTTTCCTCAAATCTGCAGCTCTGGTCCCCAGTCTCCTTCCCTGGCAATGACCCCAGCCAACAGTACCTCTACTCCACCACTCCACCCTCCCCCTAATACTAAGGAACCAAGTAAACACTGGGAAGAGCACACTTTACCCTTTCTTTCCACTTGAACCCACTTCTGGAGCTTTGTGAGCTCAAGCTCACCAGTAACTCCCAGTTGCTGACCCCCGACTCCTTTCTCCCCGCACTATCCTAGATGCTCGACTTTCTTTGCCCACAGGACCCACTCTCTCCAGGTCTCTGCTTCACTGCCTTACACACACTTTGTGTGTGGGGGGGGTGTATTGAGACAGGGTCTCACTATGTAGACCAGGCTGGCCTCAAACTCAGAGATCCCCCTGCCTGTGCCTCTTGAGTGCTGGGATTAGAGGCATGCACCACCACGCCCGGCCTCAGACACTTCTCACTCCCTTCAGTCACACCGCACACTATGTACTCCTATACTTGCTACCCCACGAGAATAAGGGTTAAGAATTATTTTTTAACTTCTAACTTCCAAAGTATAATTAAATATTTATTTTGTGGGTTTTTAGGAGTCTCGCTATACATTCCAGGGTGATAAAAAAAATCAAGATTCCCTACCTCCACCCACTGCATCACTGAGCTCAGACGAAGATGAGGACTTTTATTACTGCTTTATCCCTAGTGCTTAGAACTGTACCTGGCACATAATGTGTTAAGTGAATGGCAGCTGTGAAAACGGTATCATCTGAGTAGTGATAGACTGTTACCAGGTAGTGGTAACAGAATGCTTACACATTTGAACTCTCCCATCTCTAAATTATAAAAAACAATAATGATTTTATTGTTAAATAATGAGGGGGTATGGTGGTGCAGCAGAGGCGGGTGGATCTCTGTCAGTTCGAGGCCAGCTTGCTTTACTTAGTGAGTTCCAGCGAGGCAACCAAGCATAATGTCTGGAGAGGGAAAAAAAAAAAAAAAAAAAAAAAAAAAAAGCAAAATCAATACTGAAAAAGACGTAATATACAAAGAACCGCAAGAATCTGATGCTATTTTAAAATACAGCTTACTAAAATCATGTTTCCTCACTTCGAATCTCACTCTTTGTAGCCTATACATTCCTGTATCTTAAAAAAAAAAAAAAAAAAAAAATTGCCCAGGCGGGGGGGCGCACGCCTTTAATCCCAGCACTTGGGAGGCAGAGGCAGGTGGATCTCCATGAGTTCAAGGCCAGCCTGGTCTACATAGTGAGTTCTAGGACAGCTGGGGCTACAGGGAGACCCTGTCTCAAAAAGACCAAAAAAAAAACAAACAAAAACAAAAAACAAAAAAAATCATTACTTTTTTAAATATAAAAGAAAGTGTCACACAAACCAAACTCTTCTCTCTGCCCTAGTTACCTTCAGGGACCATTCTAGGGCAATGGCTAATGTAAATTATAAAGTCTATGAGTTTCCACATCTGCCCCAACATCAAGCAGTGCAACTCTGTGCTCCTACAGACACTGAGGCTTGTCAGCAGGCTCTGCCAGGCAGCTCTTGTTTCTGAAACTGAAGAGGGGAGTGAATAGCAATCTGGGCAGAGCAAGGCTTTCAGCTTTGTTCACAGCTCTGTGCTATCCCTTCCTGTCAGTAAAGGAAACTGTCAGAGATGAACTGGCCACTGTCCATAACAAAGTAACAAGATCACAAACTGCAGGACCTTTGGCCACTGGCTGTTGAGTCCAGAAGAAAAAGAAGCCTCAGACACAGGGAGGAGATGAGATCTGAACAAGTTTAAAGGCTGTCCAAGAATCCTGGGCGCCTGAGTGCAATCTACAGCTTTCCTCTACGCTACGGTTGGCCCTGGCAAGCCTAGAGACTACAAAAAGAACCGGGGATGACAGCTCTGGGACTGCAGGGATGGGTTTGGTCAAGGCAAATGAAGGATACTAAGGATCCAAAAAACCTAGGTTCCAAAACGAGCTTTGTCACAGAACTACCAAGTAACAAAGTAATTGTTTCCTTTTCTGCCAAAAGACATCGAAGTGGCTAAACACTGATTCTCTGAAGGCTTACATTTACATAACCATGTATGTCACTTACGTCCAATTTGGGAAAATCTGTCAGAATCTGTGAGAGTCTGTCATGGTAATTCTGTTGAGTAAATTTGACTTTTCTCATATAAAAATGTCTAATGCGGTGAATTTGGTAATGCTTATGAATAACCGTTGGAGTCTTTCGTTGAGTCTTCGATAATGTCAGGTCAATGAAGTCCTACAATTGAAGAAAATAAGGTATAATTCAAACATTTATTCTCCATCCTTTGCTTATAACCTTCTTAAAACACTAATCTCTAACACTAGTACATATCTTACACTACAAATTTTACTTTTTCTAACTCAATCTTTATATAAACTTGGCTCATCTTGACGGTTTCTTGCCTTTAAGAAATACTTCCCAAATAGTTGCTGAAGTAAATTTTACACCATGCTTTTCTGATGCTATTTTAACTTTCAAATATCTAAAAATAAAGTAGGTTAACTCAAAAATAGACCAGAAAAAAAATAAGAAAAGTTCTTCAATTTTAGTATGTAGTTTTGACTTTAAGAGGATATAAAATGAGTAAAACTAAAACCCACTGTTTTAAAGAGTATGTAAAGCAACTATTTGAGGATTTAAGAGATACTTGCACTCATCCCCCCGTATGTGGAGGTGGGGAAGGACCCTTCTCTATCTTCAGGCTTCCTCAATCACTTTTATCCAAATATAAAGTTATCTTATTTTCCCTTGAACACCTCCATCACTTAACAATACTGATCACTTACTACCAAGGATGAAGGGATATTTAAGTACTGACAATAAAAACAATGAACAAGACACCATCCTCCAAGGATTTCAGGATCCAGTGACAGCAGGTGAGTCACTGCATGAGAGCTCCTCCACTCTTCCAATAGTCCTCATGTCCTTAAGGAGTTACTTCACCTACTTCAGAAAGTTTCCCCAGACGCACCCACTTACTGTTACACTCTTGTATTGTCCAGAATCCTTGGTATTTATGGAGATTGGGTTCAGGGATCCCTCTTCCCACCAAAACACATAGATACTCGTTCATTATATAAAATGGTACTGTATCTGTGTAGAAGAATCTACACACGTCTGCCATACACTTTAATTTCTAGATTACTTACAACACCTAAAAACAACATAAATGCTATGCAAACAGCTGTAACACTACCTATAAGAATTCTTTTAAAGTTTGTACACATTCAATATAGGTGCAGTTTTCAAATAGTTTTCAATCTGCAGTTGGATGAATATGGATTTGGAACACACAGAGGACAAACTGCATATGTTGCACATTCCTCTGTTCCAACATTTTTTGCATTTCTAGTGTGGCTGTAAGTACTTCTATTTATTCCTTTAGACCATGACTTTTATACATGTCTATACAGACAGTACCCGGCATAGGCATAAGATAAAGACTCGGTACCTTTTACAACAAACTCTCTCATATTTTGCAGGTTGAATTTTTACTTCCAACCACCAAAGGATTACCAGCACCCATCTTTTACACGTATATTGTTTTCTAGAAACAAATCTTAATCAAGACAACAGAAAATGCATGTTGCACTAATATACTTTAACGATTTTTCACTAAGTCAATTATATTAACAAACTCAGTATGATCCAATGAGCTGTATTTCAGATGAAATAAAGACTATGCACAAATTCCTTCTACACGCTTGAGGCAGAGTTAAGATATGAGGGCTTAAAATACAAAATGTGACTCCTACATACCATTTCTTCCCAAATACTACAATCTGGTGAGAGATGTACCAGAATGATTGACTGCAAGAGGAAAGAGTGAGAAATGACACACACGAGGACACAATTCTGTGTGTCACGAATGGAAAATACCAGTTCTTCATAAAACGTTCCAAGACAAACTCATTCCGGAAAGGGGACACTGGGAATATTCACACCGCACTAAGCTTAACCGCAGAAGTTCCTTCTCTGAATTGATCCCCAGTTCAGTGTCGAGAACTTGCCCAGAAACACGTGTATCCCCCTAAACCCTTTCACCTAGCTGATGGCTCACACTGAAGGTGTCCACATGAAAATTTAACAGTCCCAACAACTGGACACTTTGGGAGCTGTTTCTTGCTACATTACACAAATCTGGCCTGGCTACAAAGATCGAACCAGCTGCTTGTCCCAAGTCCAACAACCAACTGTGCCAGCAAGGAACCAGGTTTTACTGCGGGGAAACTTGGGCTATGTAGAACTCAGAATCCTAAAGTCCCAGGTTCTTGAGGGGCTTTGAGGTCTTGGGGACAGACGACCTGGGGTCTGGGGAAAAGGCGCGTGGTTTCCGTGGGCCTCATCTTTGGAGGACCGAGGTCAAAGCCTGGCAAGTGGGGCCGGGCAGAGAGCACGACGGACCTAGGGTGGCGCCCTTTCCCGGCTCGAGGGTCACAGGCCTGGGCCTTCATGGCGGCCTGGCAAGAAGAAGGCGCCGGGGCCTCCTGGGTCACTCCTACCTTGGCGGACGGGACCACCGTGATCTTTTTGAAGTTGTAGTGCGCCATGCCGGCGATGGGACGCACGAGGAGACAAGCAGGTAGCTACAGGCCGGACTTCCGCTGTCAGGAGAGGGCGGGACTTCCGACATTCGGTGCGGCCTGGGCTTAGGCCTATGGGCGCAAGCGTGCGTCACTTCCGGCACAGCGCTCTCGTGGTCTAACAGCGTCGCCTGTGGGTCGGAGGTCCGCTGCCGAGAGATGAAGGAAGCAAGAGGTGGGAAAGTTTGGGATCAGGCTGGGTACTTTGAGGGTCGCTGGAGACCCACCCTGAGCCATGGAAACTTCCGGAGGTCCCACGGTCTGTCTCTGTCTCCGCGGACGTCCTGGTCCGGGCGAGAGACTCAGCATGGAGCTGGAGTGCGCACAGAACTATGCAAGTTAATAAGGACACGGAGCTGGAGGCAGAGACGCCGTCCTTCCCTGGCCGCCCGAACCTCGTGATCTACGGGTGTGCAGCCTTCACCTGAGCCCGAGACCGCGGAGAACCCTGCCCTGCGGTTAAGAGCACCTGCTGCTGTTGCAGAGGACCCGGGTTCGATTACCACCCAGCACCCACAAGGCGGTTAACTCCAGTTCCAGGGAATCCAATTCCCTCTTCGGGCCTCTATGGGCATTGCACGACAGAGGTGCACTTACGTGCGTGCAGGCAAAAAAACACAAAATAGAAGTTAATTAAAACCCTCCTGTCTGTCATTCTTGTTCTTAATGTCTAGAACTTACCTTCCTACCGTCTCTCCCTAACTAAATCCTCGAGGTTCTGTTTTCCACCCTTCATTCTTCCTCATCAAAGTCTGTTTTTCTGAATGGTGGCTTTACAACGAACTACGATGATATGGGGTTTTGTGTTTTTTTTTCAGCCTGATTTCTTTCTTATTTCCAACCTGACAATAAGTTGGTTGTGGAATTTGTACCCTGTACAATTCCAGACATAGCAAACTCAACATATCAGAAACCATTATTTTCTGCTTTTGTAAGTAAACTCATCCCCACGCTCTGACTCCCACGGATCCCAGAGCAAGATTTGGCACAAAGCCAAGAGCAGGGCTGCCCAGAGCGCAGACCTTGAAACAAATGATAGTGGATGAGGCCTCTAGGGGCAAAGGTACGGTCAAGAAACAGATGGTTTCACAGCTGTTAAAACCTAGGGGCCAGAGCAGCGAACGAAAAATACCGTCTAAGGCAAAAAGAGCTGCAGTGGGTCCCCTGAAATGCATGAGGAAAGGGCGGGGGCGGGGGGCAGTTGAGAGACCCAGTCCGCTAGAGCACAATTCAAAAAGAAGGAGAAAGTAAATAAGGATGAAGCACGTAATATAATCTCTATTACTGTTGTGACCACTCGGGTAACTCAAGAGTCCTGTACTGTATTAAACTTCACATAGGGCTATGAGTCAAACACTAGTCAACGTTGTTGATGCCAGATTAACTCCTACAACAATCTTATGAGATGGGTGGGGGGAAACAAGGGCCAGTGTCCAGCACATAGCTGCACCACTAATAGGCAAAAGGGTAGAGTTTGAACGTAAGCGGCCTGGCTGCTGAAAGCCTGCTTTAACACACTGCTTCTAAGTCATGGATGCTCCTCACTTCTCAAGTCTTTTAACAAATCCTCCTCTTCTTATATGAAAATGTCTCACACATTCCCAACATTCCAGTATTAAATTTGAACTATGATTTTGCCATTTACTGTCTTGACATTGCAGCCCATGTTTTGTGTCAGTAAATTAGATAACACGTTTTTGATAGTTCTAAAGGAAACCGCCAAGATCATTCGAATTTACTTGTTTGTCATTTACTAAACCCAGGAAATGTCCTGCGCATCTGAGATGAGCAAAGCTATCTGTCTTTTGTCCTTTTCTTCAGGTTCTATGTTTCTCTTAACCTCCCTCATTTCCCATCACTCTCTTTGGATCAGCTTCTTGTCTGTCTGTCTGGTTGGTTGGTTGGTTAGTTGGTTTTTTGAGACAAGGTCTTACTGTAGCCCATACTGGTCTGGAACCCACTATATTGCCCAGACTGGCCTGGAACCAGTGGAAGTTCTCATGTCTCAGTCTCCTTAGTGATGGACCCAAGTCCCTCCAAAATGATGGATTTAAATTAAAATCCCCCAGGCCTGAGAAAAACTGTACAAGAAAGTAAAAATGAAAAATAATTCTGAATGCTAAGAACAAGCTGAACTGACCTTTTTCATGCTCCTCTGCCCAAGTTAGAAATCATTCCAGAAATTCCCCCTACCTCTGCTTGGCACATAGCCACCGCTTTTCTGCTTGGCACATAGCCGTCGCTTGTCTTTAAAAGAAACCTGTGAACTGGGCTCTGGGCTTCTGTCCTCTGAGTGAGGCAGGAGTCCGTTTTGCAAAACGCCAGTAAATCCTCTTGCTTGTTGCATCTCCTGGTCTGAGGACTGAGTTATTGGGGAGCGGCCTCCTGTGGACGTTGGGTACCCCATCTGGGGTTCCAACATTAGTGATGGGCTTACTGACATGAGACACCATGCTTAGCTGAATGAAATTTTTTTTTTTCTTTTAGAGTGCTGGAAATTGAATCTAGGGCCTTCCATGTGTTAGGCATGTGCACTGCCACTGAGTTCCATCCCCAGCCCTCTCTTTCTTTAAGTCCAGCATTGAGACCAATTCTTGGCTTCAGGACTTCATGCTGAGAAGTAATTGAAAGATATCTTACTTTTGTGTGACCTTAGTGTTTACAGAGTCCTTTGCTTTGTAGTATTTATAAAATCCTCCCAGCAGCCTTCTGATCTGGTGCTAAGATTAGAAGCTTGCTTCTTATCCAAGGTCACGGCTGTATGTGGCAGGCAGGACAGACCCAGCAGAGGCCCACTGCACATTCAGCTATCTCATAAACACAGTCATTTATATACACAGCATGCATAGGGGCCGGAAGTTTATATGATGAGATAAAATGTCAGTATTTGTGAGTTTCAGATTTATGCAGTTGAAGTTCATTTGTTCATATAGAAGATAAACCATTAAATA